AAAATAGTCTAAAAAAAACCTTAAAATATCTAAAAATAGTAACTTTATGTCAAGAATGAGACTAAATGAGATTAAATGAGATAACTTTCTTATTTTTTCTAAGTTATGATCTTATTTTGAGATCTGATATATAGTTACTTTGCATGTTTTTTTCATGATTAGTCCCAGCGGGATTCACATCAAGAAATGTATAAAATCAGATTAAATAAGATTAAATGTGAAATTCATAATTCTGATGACCAGTCTAAGTGAACATAGCTGACAGCCTTATCAAGTCACTGGCGAAGCCTGCATTTGAAGATTTTATCAAAAGAATTGATTTGAAAAAGATCAGAAAAGAGTGATTGAATGATAATAATAATACAGCAGATCAATGAATTTTGCATGTATTTCTTGATTTTTACAGTTATTGCTGTACAGACGCCTTTTCTAATAAGAAAATCAGAGTCTGATTGATGTAATTAATTATTATTATGTTTTTGAAAGAATTGAGAATAAGAGAAGGCTCTGAGTGACGGCTTATTATAGAGATATTGATAATTACTACACCTACTCTAGTCACGTGTCACTTCAACCTATTTAGTGTAACTTCGCGCAGAAAGCAGAAAACTTGATCTCATTAAGTACATCACTTAATCTTATTATGTAAGCTGACCTTGTAAATGTGACCTGTGTTACTACCTGATCTCACTCAATACATCTTTTCTTGTAATTTGAAATCACTTAATTATTTATCATCAATTCTACAATCAATTCAAAATCAATTTAAAATTAATTTAATACTGAAATTATTCTTGAATTTAATAATAAAGTAAGTATTTATATAATTTACACTGAATTGATTATTAATTGATTTTCAATCAATTGTTAATTACTTAAATATATAGATTGAATTTATTTTTATTATTATAATTAATTAACAATCAATTCAGAATCAATTTAAAATCAATTTAAAATCAATTTAATACTGAAATTATTTTTGAATTTAATAATAAAGTAAGTATTTATATAATTTACACTGAATTGATTATCAATTGATTTTCAATCAATTGTTAATTACTTAAATATATAGATTGAATTTATTTTTATTATTATAATCAATTAATAATCAATTTAAAATTAATTATTAAATATTTTTATCTTAATATATTTTAAAATTCTGTAAAATATCTCTTTATATTCTATATGAATTTGTCTGTTCATTTAATTGATTATGAATCAGCTAATGCTTTGATTGATTGAGTGAATTGAAAGTGTAAGAAATCCCGCTTCTCGCGGATTCTTTACCTCTATTTCTATCTCTCACATAATCAATAGAGCTAGCAGCCCTTGACTATACACAACTATATAGACTGGAGTTCATGAATACTATTCATAACTCAGCTTGAATGCTATTATACATTTAATCTCTACATTTTATCTTTCTACTGTGAATACTTCTAGTAGTTAACAGTACATATCACACCAAGCTGCAAACACCCGAATAATCGCCTGCGAGCACTTATTCTTACAGAAAGATTGAGTGAATTGAAAGGTTGAAAGTCAATTACCAACTGATTATTACTGTATTGTGCGAGGTCGGGGTCATGATTATGTAACGAGGTCAAGTGGCGCACTTAGCGAGGTCAAGTTTTCTGTATACACAACTTCGCGTAGTTAGATTAACAACACAACGTTATCCTCTGTTGGCCGTTACGGCCGTTGCGGTTAGCGATCCCACTAGATCACGTGACCCACCACTATATTATGTTCTTGTAGATAGATCTATCAATACAACCTTCAACTATCCTACATCCTCCAAGACATTTTTTGACTTGAGTCAGCTCACTAGCACTTACGCGGTGACGTGTAACCTGTGGTAAAGCTGTGGCTTCGTACTGATATCACACGGAAAAGAATTTTGATGTTGTTAGTATAGATACTCAAAACCCTCTTTTATTATCGTATCTCTCTCGTCAATCTCAAATACAATTACACCCCCCCCAACTTCGTTTTGTAGACAGCCATGGGTTTGATAAAGTACTGTGCACGCATGCCATATGTTGGCCCTCTCCTGTCGGTACATCATCCCCTTCCCCTCCAAAAGAGGAAAAAAACCTCGACTTTCTTCCTTCTTGTCTCATTAATCCAGCGCTGCTCTGCTTGAGATATTTGCCGGGCAAATTAATTCCCTTTTACTATTGGAAGAGAATATTCCTTCAGCGCTTCGAGCTATGTATGTTTCCCAAAAACCCTGCTGAGTAGCTACCTATAGATGGTGGGCGTGGGCTGATTGGAGGCAACGGATAATCAGCTTTGTACAGTACATGTACAGTACATGTTGATGATATCCCATGCCCTCATTATCGGGCTCCCGACACTGCGAACGGGTTGCGAAATGTGGTAGGTAGGTGGTGTGATGCGTATAGTTCGATAGGTTACGGAACTGGTCGCTGGTCGCTGTAGAGCTGCACATCTGCACAGCGAGTCCTTGTAAAGCCCACCCCGCAACATCCCATCCCTAGCCACAATCCACTATTCCAATACTGTTTCCTCCTCTTTTTCACAGACATAAAAATTCACCTCTCCCCGTCATCCCTCCATCCCCAGCCCCAACTCCAACACCATCCTCAACCCCTTCCTCCCAGGCCCATAATAATCCTCCACCCCTTCCACCTCCACAAACCCACAGCCCGCATACAACGCCCTCGCCACCGCCCGCTTCTCATCAACCCACAGCTGCACAGCCACACACCCCCTCCCGCCCCCTCGCTGCGGACACAGCGACTGCTCAATCACATACGTGAGCAGCTGCCGGCCGACACCCTGGCCGCGGAAGGGTTCTGCCACGCAGACCTTGTGCAGGAGGGCGGTGCTCTTTTGGCGTACGTAGAGGGCGTAGGCTATTATTGGGGCTGGAGGCTGCGTTTGCGGTGTGGGAGTCGTGGTTGTGGGCGCGGGTGATCGCTCCTTGAGTATTTTTGAGGATACAGACACGGATATGGAGGTCGACCTGGCCGTATCGCCATCCGCGGCGGCGGTCGCGTATAAGATGTGAGTATTCGGCTTCCGGCGATAGAGGGATTGGTCGGAGAAATCGAAGGCTTCGGAGGCGGGGAAGGTTTTGCGCTCTATGTGGTTGATTTGGGAGAGGATTTCGAGGGCGAGGGTCCTTTGCGGGAGGGAGTTGAGGTCGTGGATTGTTAGGGTGGGGGGCATGGTTGTATATATATCTAGCCTACTTAGATACATGTACTGTACATATGTAGTAGGTAGTCTATAATCCCCAGCTATATATGCTTTGGGAGGAAATATTTGGAAGATCTAGCTAGTCCCTGGCGTTGGGACTGCAATTGTTGGCAATTATGTATATCTGGGCTATTTTCTACCCTTGGTGTGGAGAAGAAACACGCTAATCCTGTTACGTTACCAGCCTTTTTCATCTGACCTCATCGCTCAAGCCCTAAATGTTAATAATGTACTCCGTACTCCGTACTCCGTACAATAATTGAACGCAACCAGGGGAAGGAAACTCCAGAAAGAAACCAAAATTAAACAATCAAGCACGCACCGAATAAAGAAGATCCCTCTCTCATCGATACCATGCCCCCCCAACCACAACAACAAGATGACAAACGACAAGCCGCGCGCGAAGTCATTGATATCCTGCATGAAATCTCTACAATACTGGTATGTTGGCATATATACGCTTAACGTCCCCACGTGTAAATATAAATTTTATTTCTTAGAAGAAAGAAAGAAAGAAAGGAAGGAAAAATACAGACATATAAATATATATATATCCTCTCTCAAATAAAACCGTTTAAACTGATTTCATTTATACTCACCAAGTGCTTGTCACAGAACACCCACCTCGACCGCACCGAACTATCCCTCTGCGTTTCCCTAATCGAAAACGGCGTGAATCCTGAAGCTCTCGCTGTAGGTGCCTACGCTACGTACTATTTTCATTTTTATATGCCCAAAACCCCTCCCTCTCCCCAACCCCCTTAAAGACAACTTATGGACATTAAAAAAAAAAAAATAAATAAATAAATAAATAATGACAAAAGATACAACAAAAGATACAACGAGCTAACACACACCCCCGTCTTGCGCAGGCTGTCATCAAGGAATTGCGCAGAGAGGCAGTTGCTGCCGCCGCGACGACATCAGGGGCGGCGGCCGCGGTGGAGTAAAAGGGGAATTGTTCATTCAATGCCAACCTAGGTTACAATGTACATGTACATGTACATACATGCATCGAATGAGTGCTAGTTACTCGAAATCAGACCCCGTGTGCCTGTCTCGGGATATGATATGATATGATATGGATGATGGATGATGGATGATTTGGATTCGTGTGTTTTCTTCCCTCCCTCTCCGGTGGTGGGCGGCTGGGGTTGTTGGTCTTTCGTGCTCTGAATGATGGGAATTTGGGGGGCGGGGAATGAAATGTGAACTGGGTTTTTTTTTTTTTTTTTGGGGGGGGGGGGGTATTTATTGCTGACGGTTCTCTCTTTTACTGTCTGGTCTGGTTTCGCTTGATGCTTTTATTAAATATGGTGTTCCGCAAAGACCTTCAAGGCTTCAAAACGAGGTGGTACCCTTGTGCCAACATGCTTTTTCTATGCTTTTCCGCGTACTTTTTTTGAGGGGGAGTTTTAATAGATGGGATGGGGAAATCGTTTTCGTGTGCGGGAACGAGAGAGGGGGTGAGGGCGGAGGGGGTGTTCATCTGTCATCTCTATATACCAGATATGAGCTCATCGGGGTTTTTTTTTTTGTGCGAAGTTTTTGTCAGTTTTTCCACTCCTCCTTTGAAACCTTGAGTCATACTTAAGAGTATAGGTACCTACCTACCTACCTAGTTATGATTTTTTGATTTTCCTTTCCTGCTTGAGCGGTGTCCGTTTACGTTAGGTATATATACCGTCTGGCCGCTTGCTGTATGTGAAGAGGGACATGCGGACACGGTGTACTTGAAACTCTCTTGCAGGGTGGGTGGGAAGTGTAACTAGCTGGGGAATACAAAAAACCAATACTCACCAACCTTTCAACCTGCTTTAAGGAAGAGTGAAACTAACTAATCTTTGCTGAAGTGGATTCTGATGACATGGTCCCTGGATTCAATTAGCATTTTTAGAATATGGCCTGGGATAGCCAGGGAACTTTTCGAAAATCATCTGGAGATAAAGGGGGATATGATCTTGATTTCTTATGTTGCAGTTATGTACCGTACTATACATAGCAGAAAGAAACATGCCTAAAGATAAATTGACCACGCCATTTACTAGGTAAAGAGACTATGCTTGTGAGCGAGTGACACTAAGTGTTGCCATGCGAGGAGAAATGAAGAGGATTCAGGGGTAGAAAGATTGGGGGGGGTTGGGTGAGTGATTAAGAATTGAAATGCCCAGGCAAGGATCAATTTGAAACAAAAATAGTCAGCCCCGTTCCCATCAAATTGGTGAATTTAAGACCCAAATAATAGACAAGGAACCATAGTCGCTTCTAAGATGTTAACGGAAAATAACTACTCGAGCTCCGCAGGTAAGGCGCAAGGAGGCAATTTGAGGTAGAAGTCGAAGTGGAAGTAATGTGTAACCCAGCATACCATAACATATGCAGAGTAAAAAACAAGATGGAAAAGGAGTATACAGCAAGAAAACAAGAAGAAGTATGACGACCAAAAAAAAATTAAAAATATAAGCAACCCGAAGCTATGTCTGGCCTAAGTTCCGCCGGCGGGCTTGCTAGCATTGTTACTCCCAGCCTTTGCAGAATCACCCCCAATATCTCCCGCCATAGCTTCTGCGGTAGCCTCCTTCACCCTCTCAGCCTCATCGGGCTTGAGATCTTTATTATTACTCCTAAGCTCCCTCTCATCGTCGCTATCGCCTAGGCTGAATGGGTCGTTGTCTCCCACGGGTGAAGGCTCAACTGCGGAGAGTGGTTGCCATTTGCTGGACTTGTTGTTGCCGCCAGTGGACGGTGGCTGCCTGTTTCTATCAGACGCAGCGCGGGGGCCATATGCACCGTGTATTTCGTCCGGAGGACCCTCTTGGAAAGAGACTTTTCGTCGGTCTGGGGATGGTGAGCTGGATTTGAAGAGATCGGGGTTTGCGAGGGGTCGTGATGAGCGTGGTGGTTGGGCTGTGGTAGGTTAAAAATAGGTTCTGGAGTTTAGAGGGAAAACTTGCGCAGAACGGTAACTGAGCAACAAAATTTTAAAGTAAAAAGGACATACCTTCGGTGTCTCTCAACTCCAACGCAGAGAAATCATCGCCTAGGACCTGGGGGTCGGCATCATACCGCTCACGATCACCACTCCGTCTGGCCTCGCCGCTCCGCCTCGTGCGATAAGTCTGGGGCTCTCCGTATCCTTGAGCATACCCTTGCGCTGGACGAGGCGGGGTATTTCCATACTCATCCTCATCATCTTCGCCCTCGAGCTTCTTCTTGAAACTTTGAACCCAAGTGTTAACCTTTGTCTGCGTCTCCAAGAATCCCTTGCGAATGTTTTCTTTAATTATCGGTAAATCATCTGGTGCAGTGGCGCTTCTTCGTTAGCTTGGTACACAGCTAGGCCGTAGATATTTAGAAAATGTACAATAATGTACCTTCAAAAAAGTTATGTTCTCTATCATCATAGAGCTCATTGGGCTTTAATCCGGTCTCCCTGTGAGGTCTTGGCAAACGGGGCTCATGATCCCACGCAGAGTTCGGGCCTCGATGGCGCTGGCCCGTTCCGCTGTAATGCTCCGCAAGCTGGCGCGCATACATTTCATCGGCCTCGAGCTGTCGCTGAGTGGGAGAGTCCTTCCGGGGTGGTCGCGGGGGCATCATAGGAGGCAGTTCCACTTGCGCATCAGGGTCCGACATGCCTATAATAAGCAAAACATGAGTTATGACTTCTAGCCCCCTATCCGCATCGGGCGGGCTTCCATACCAAGCAGCGCATGGAATGATCTTTCCACATTCCCATCGCTCGCTACCAAAACGGCTTTTATAACGCTGGCATCGATACTGGGAAACGCTTCTTTTAAATTGATTTCGGCCTGTTGCATAGGGCTGAGTGGTCGGGGTGGTTTTGGCGGGGCACCTTCGTTGCCGCCTGTAGAAGATAGGTTGGGCGCTGAAGGTGTCTGCATTGGTATCACACCGGATTCTTGGGGTTCATCGTCAAAATCCAGAGGTCGAGCTGTAGTTGGAGACTCTGGGTGATTGCTCTGTGAAGCTAAAGCCTTCAGGGGCGTGTTCTATGGTCAAAATCAGTTGGATAGAGGGCGTGTGGGGCTGTACGCGGGAAGCACGAGACAGCAAGCACCTACAGTTTTTTCTCCGTCGGACATGGTGACGGTGTTTGTTTGAATGATGTAGTTGTAGGTATTGAGATCAAAATATCTATTAGAGTGCAAAAATTGGGAGAAGATAGCTGGTCATTTAGAGATATATGAATCGCAAGGCAGTGCAGTCGCTGTTCCCTGTCCATCTCGATTCCAACCTTATCTGACAACGTGTAGAACCAAGCTGAGATAAGCTAGTCTAATCAGGCCTAGCGTAGACTTCCCACCACAGCTGACGCCATTCCTTTTACGTCACCGCCAAGCCGCATAACTGAGCCACACCACACCGCGTCATCCGGAAAAACTATTAATCCTTCCGGCTGAAGTAAGCCGCGTTAGTTAACTATCTGACTAGTTACACCTCCTGGAGTAAAGTGGTAGGTACAGAGACGAGGACAGGGCAACATCTGAATACATATCTCCAGGTTTGGTGTAATAGAAGGGTTCTACCGTGCTCTGGTTACTGAAACATGGATCTGATGAATATATCCTGGCTAATTCTTTGAGTTGAGATGAGTTGGGACATCCAATTGCTTTCTCAATGGCCTCCGACTTTGATCTCTCGGCTTCGTTCATCCCGTCGCTGTATAAACCTGCCGCGCTACTACCCATAGCTCGCCACCGGCAATCTCTTCTGTACCTCATAGAAACATATCCTGTGACTGTTGTCGTGGGCCAAACAGGTAGTGGAAAGACTACCCAGTTGCCCCAATTTCTCGACCAGGCAGGATGGTGTTCAGACGGGAAGATCATTGCTGTCACTCAGGTGAGTTTTTATCCATAGCTTGTAATTTATTTTACCAATATCTTTTCTCTGGATGTTTGGTTAGCTGAAATATGTTATATATATCCAGCCTCGGCGAGTGGCGGCGACCACAGTAGCAACTAGGGTGGCAGAGGAAATGCGATGTAAGGTGGGCGAAGATGTAGGCTATTCGATACGTTTTGAAGATGTAACTTCTTCCTCAACGCGGATCAAGTTCCTGACCGACGGTTTACTATTACGAGAAGCGTTGGTCGACCCTTTATTGTCCCGGTATTCTGTTATCATGGTCGACGAGGCCCATGAACGCTCTATAAGCACCGATGTCTTGCTCGGTGTGCTTAAGAAAATTAGAAAACCGCGACCTGAATTACGCATCGTGATTAGCAGTGCTACGTTACAGGCAGAAGAATTTCTGCGCTTCTTTGCTGGGGATGAATTCAACCCTGAAAGTGAAGATGAGCTGGGTGGCTCTATTGGCAGAGTTATCACATTAGAAGGGAGGATGTATCCTGTGGACTGCCTATTTCTTGAAACACCAGTCGAAGATTATGTGGAGAGAGCAATCAAAACTGTATTTGATATCCACACCAGGGAACCGGACGGGGACATCTTGGTGTTCCTTACGGGAAGGGAGGAAATCGATACTGTAATTCAGCAAATCTCTGAACGCGCAAATTCGTTACATGCCAAAGCCCCCGGTCTGCTTCCATTACCCCTTTATGCTGGACTCACTACCGAACAGCAGCTCTACGTCTTTGAACCTGCCCCTGAAAAGACTCGAAAAGTCATTGTATCCACCAATATCGCAGAAGCTTCCGTCACAATTGACGGAATTGTATATGTTATTGATTGCGGATTTGCAAAGCTTCGTGCATACAATCCAAATACGGGAATAGAGACCTTGACGCCAACGCCTATCTCCAAAGCATCTGCGACCCAGCGAGCGGGACGTGCTGGACGGACCAAACCAGGAAAATGCTTCCGTCTTTACACTGAGCAGTCTTACCAATCACTTCCGGATGTCACGGTTCCGGAAATCCAGCGGTCCAATCTTGCACCTGTTATTCTGCAGCTCAAGGCTCTGGGTATTGACAATATCGTTCGCTTTGGCTTTCTTACGCCCCCTCCATCTGAGCTCGTTGTTCGCGGCTTTGAATTGCTCTATTCCCTCGGGGCAGTTGATGACTATGCAAAACTTACGCGGTCACTTGGGATTCAAATGGCTGAGCTTGCGGTGGAGCCTATGATGGCCAAGGTTCTGCTTGGTGCGCCATCCTTTGGCTGTCTGAGTGAAATTCTGTCAATTGCTGCGATGACGAGTCTGCAAGGAGCGGTCTGGTTTGAGAAAAGTGACGAAAAGAAGGCAGTCGAGAGCACTCGTCGAAAGTTTGCCGTGGATGAAGGAGACCACTTAACCTACTTAAATGTTTACCAAGCGTTTGTCACCAAGGGAAAAAAGGACTCAAAGTGGTGTCGGGATAACTATCTAAACTACAGGTCCATGCTAAAGGCTGTTAGCATTCGTGCGCAACTCAAGCGATATCTTGAGCGCTTTGGCATTCAGGTTGATGAAAGTCTCTCTTCATCCAGCCCCGCGCCACCAGAGCAAATCCAGCGCTGCCTTACAACCGGATATTTTGCACACGCGGCGAAGATGCAGCCAGATGGTAGCTTCAAGCCCATCAGTGGTGACATCACGCTACATGCCCACCCTAGTTCGTTGATGTTTGTAAGTAGCAATATGTCTCTTGCTTTTTCATTCCTTGCTCTTGTCCATGTATGTTTGCAATTTACGGATTTTGTGACGGCTGATAGTATACATGATAATATAGAACCGCAAAGCTGACTGGGTTATCTTCCATGAAATCCTGGAAACAGGGCAAAAGACGTTCATTCGAGATATTACCAAAATCGAGAAGTCTTGGCTGCTCGAGTATGCACCGGAATACTATCAAGTTAAAAAGTGATGCATATAAATAATAAATACACTTAGTTTTCTTCATCAGGATGCCGCCTATTATTGGACCGTTAACGTCGGGAACCATGATTTTTTTTTGGTGTACTATACATATATACCACCCAGCTTAAATAGAATTTCGAATTTTGAGAATCAATTGGACGAGATAGTACATATAATACCCTCCAAGTTAATTCTTTGCACTGGTTATTTGGAAATAAATATATTTGCAATTTCTGACGTCATCAGCAAACATCCCCTGCAAAAATTAACCTACCTTGGACCCGGTAACGAAGCCAACACAAAAGCTCATTAACATAATTTACGCTTCCTTCCAATGCCACATACTCCAGCTAGAGATCAAAATGTCCCATCACGATCACGATCACGATCATGGCCATAGTCATGGCCACGATGACCACCACGACCACGACCATTCCTCCGACATTACCCCCGCACTTCAATCGAATCTCTACCAGCAAATCGACTTCGATGGTATCATCACCCTCAACGAGACAGAGTCCAAATCTGGCGCGGCCATCGTGAAAAAGACATGGGCGCAACGGTTAGATGAGAAACCGGAGCTGGAGAGCGATGTCGATGAGCAATTGCTCATGTATATCCCGTGCGTTCGACTTCCTGTCCTACCTTCACCTTTTTTACCCCTCCACCCTCTCCAAAAATATGAAAAAGAAAAAAAGAAAAAGAGAAAAGAGAAAAGGAAAAAAAGAATGAACAGCGAGGGGAAATACATCCTTTCTCGAACCCCGAGCCAACAACCACAACCAAGAATGTATATATGAATTCCAAAACTAACCCCATCCTCCGCAGCTTCACCGGCCAAACAAAACTCCACTCCCTCATCCTCTACTCGGCCCCAACCCCCTCCGCCCCCAAAACCATAAAACTCTTCCGCAACAGACCAGATCTCGACTTCTCCACCGCCGCAGATCTAATCCCAGCCCAAACCCTCTCTGTCCCCCAAACACTCACCGGTCCAACCTCAGACGTGATCGAGATCCCTCTCAACAGAGCGCAGTTCAACACCACGACGTCCATCACGCTGTTCTTCGAGGACAACTGGAGCGATGGCGAGGAGGAGGTGACGCGCGTTTCGTACATTGGGTTTAAGGGGCAGCATATGGCACTGAATAGGGAGCCCGTGACGTTTTTGTATGAGGCTGCGGCGAATCCGAGGGATCATGTTGCTATTCAGGGCGTGCAGGGCGTGGGAAGGACGATTGGGCCTGGGAGATAAGGACTTTTAATCCCAGTGAATTTTGGATGTCAGTGGGACTGAAGGGAAGGCTTTTGCGTGATTTCTAATGACGTTATGTGGTATATGATTGTATGTATATCTGGCACGTCTTCTTCTCTTCTTGCAGTTATGAGTACTAGTTATTGTATTCTTTCTTGTGCAGAGGAAGTGTAGCAATGTATATGTCCTGCAAATCACCTATGGGTGATTGTTTATGTATGATGCGGAATCATCTCCGGGTAAAATAAGGTTGAAATGCCAGACATGAAGAACACATAGAACCTGCTGAGCTGTGAGCCATTTCAGCACATATAAGAACCAAATACTAAAAATAAAAATTTAAATTTAAATTATCAGCCATCAGCAATATATGAAGAATGTTCCCAAACATATGCCGCTCTATAATAATCTAGAAAATACCCCCAAAGTCACAGAAAAGGGGTTGAACTATGTAGATAAATGCCATATGACGCCTAGGTGAAATCGCTATGCACGACCAAAAGTGAACAATGAGACGAAGTAAAAGCAAAAAAAAACAAAAACAACTAAGCCTCCATTGGCACAGCCGCTCTTGCCTTTGCCCTGGCTTTAGCACGCTGTTTGGCTTTCTCTTGCTTTTCCTGCTCTGTCTCCTCGGGCAGCGCTGACGTGGGCACATTCGGAAGACTGATTGGCCCAGAAATCTCCTGCTCCATCGCCTCGAGCTCGTCTTCTACCTCGTCCTCGTCTTGGTTGGACATTTGGCCACCCAACATGCGGCTGACTTCCTGGTGATAGTTCACATGTATTAGCAAAATATGGGCCACACCCGACAAAATAGGGAATAAATCAGATATATATTAAAGAAGTACAAAAAACAAACCTCCTGATACGCTCTGGCCTCCTCTGTATCGCCCATCAGCTTCTCCACCGCTTCCAGGCCCCCCATCTCCTTATGGATGGTCTGTAGCACCTTGGTCCCCTGACTCAGCCCAAAGAGCACATCCTTCTGCACTAGGGCAAACTCGACACTTCCTGTTAACCGCTCGAGTTGATCGAGTTGCGCATCTGTTTTTGCCAATAGGGACTGTTGATACTTCTTACGGCGGAGAGCGAGCAAGGCGCGTGGCCGGTCGTTGCGGGCAAGGCATTCTCGCGCGATTTGGGTTTCGCGGTCTGTCAGAGTGGTGATGCGCTTTTGGTATTGGTGGAGTTTGTCGCGTTGGTTTTTTAGGTCGAGGATTGCTCTGCAGGGTGGTGGGTTAGGTTAACTTCATAGATCAGGGGGTTGTATATCTGGAGTGCTGGGAGGCTTGGAATCTGCGGGGAAGCCCCTGTTCATTGAGGGAGTAATGCGGGTGTATGTTCGGGAAGGCAATGACATACCTATCCTGAGCGGATATTTTATGAGAACTGGAGGTGTTACCCATTGTCGTAGCATTCTCCTTGCTGTGGTAAAGAAGATCTTTTGGCCTTGTTCGATTGAGGTCAGTTGCCCAAGCTGCAACCTGTTGGATGACATACCTCATACGGCGATACTGTTGGTAATACTAATACAGAGCATAATACATAGCGTGCTTAAACAAGGCAAAACTAGTGTAATTGGACGTATTTTTCATTTTGTCTGTCAGATTGATAAGATAAGATCGCAATTATAATCATGTGATAGTAATCGTAGATTGTCCGATATGTGGCTCAAAATCAATTAAAATATAAATATCAATATAGATATAGATAAGTCTCATATGCTTATTGTCTCAAAGTAATAAAAATACAAGTGCTTCTCCAGACGAAAGCCATAGAAGTGTGAAAATGCACGTCACGTGACTGAGCCATTGATACCGGGCTATCATTCTTCCACAATCATCGAAATCCCTACCGAGATCTTATTTTATAGGCACATTTCAGCGGGCGACGACGAGCTCTTCGCGAGAAAAATAAGAAGGAAGAACCTAGGACCGCCTCGTTCTTGTAGGATGGCTCCGAGAAATCGTGGCAGCAGACCAACGCTCGGACATGGTCTTGACAAGGAGGTGTGTTCGGGAGGCTCCCAAATATCCTTTTTTGTCACCCTAACAGCTGTATATACATATATATATATGTGACCCGCAAGTGCTGATTCGACTCACCTGTCGCAAACAAGGTTTACCAAATAGTGCGCAAGATTGCCGATGATCTCCAATTGGAAGGGGAAAATGTACGCTTAACCCTGCCGTTTGTCTACGACCGGATAAAACGGTCAAATTCTAGTCTCAATCGGAGAGGGAAAAAATTGCTAGAAGACAGTATCGAACGGGTACTGGAGGTAGTCAAAACAGATGTGCTTGGTGATGGGGATTCAGATTCGGTTAATGGAGATTTCGAAGGACTCGAAGAGAAGGATGCCATTTTGGTAGGCTTCCTTGTGCTTTAAAAAAAAAAAAGTTCTACCGGAGCGGTATAGGAGGGGATTGCTGACAGCATCAAGGATTCTAATCGCATGAATAAGAGTATCGTGGGAATGTGGGGCACACAAGCAAAGATGCCAACAATACCGAAGAAAATAACGGATATGGCGGAGGTTGATTCAGCATCGTCAGCCCCCACCGCTGCGGCAAGTAAGAGACGACAGGCTGGAGGGGAATCACAGGCTAAGAGAAGAAAGGCGGAAAGCAGCATTGACAGGTCACCTCCTACCCACGTAAATTTGGCGGACCTAGGCGGAGTAGACGATGTAATTCAGGAACTCGAAGACCTTATTGTTTTACCCATGACTCGCCCTCAAGTCTACTCCTCGTCGAAGGTGCAACCTCCGCGCGGGGTATTACTTCACGGCCCGCCTGGTTGCGGTAAAACCATGATTGCCAATGCTTTTGCAGCGGAGTTAGGTGTGCCGTTTATCGCAATATCCGCGCCGTCGATAGTTTCGGGTATGTCTGGAGAATCCGAGAAGGCGCTACGGGAACATTTCGATGAGGCAAAGAAAGTTGCGCCGTGCCTCATCTTTATTGATGAAATCGATGCAATCACCCCCAAGCGCGAGAGCGCTCAGAGGGAAATGGAAAAACGTATCGTTGCGCAGCTACTTACTTGCATGGATGACTTGGCTCTGGAAAAAACGGACGGGAAACCTGTGATTGTATTAGCAGCTACGAATCGACCTGACAGCCTGGATGCTGCACTGCGACGAGGCGGGAGATTTGACAAGGAGATCAATCTTACCGTTCCCAGCGAGCCTGTGAGAGAGCAGATTCTACGGGCTCTCACAAAGGATATGAACCTTGCAGATGATCTGGACTTCAAACTCCTGGCAAAGAGAACTCCTGGATTTGTCGGTGCTGACCTAAACGACCTCGTTTCCACAGCAGGAGCGGCTGCTATAAAACGATACATTGAACTCCTGAAATCACATACAGGCGACGAAATGGAAATAGAAAACACAGCAAATGACGCTGATGGTGACAAGAGTACGAAGATCAGCCCTAAAATCCTTGAACTCCGCCGCCTCATCAAACACGCCCGAGAAACCCCTCTTCACTCCGAATCCCAAACCATATCTGTCTCCAACACGGATTTCTTCACCGCCCTTCCTAAAATTCAACCCTCCTCCAAGCGCGAAGGCTTCGCCACCATCCCAGACACAACATGGGCAGACATCGGCGCCCTAGGCGGCATCCGTGACGAACTCGCCACCGCGATTGTCGAACCAATCCGCAACCCAGACATCTACGCCCGCGTCGGCATCACTGCCCCAACAGGCGTCCTACTTTGGGGCCCGCCAGGCTGCGGAAAGACCCTCCTCGCCAAAGCAGTCGCCAACGAGTCTCGCGCCAATTTCATCAGCGTTAAGGGCCCCGAACTGCTGAATAAATACGTAGGTGAATCCGAACGCGCCGTGCGCCAGGTCTTCGTGCGCGCTCGCTCCTCGGTCCCCTGCGTCATTTTCTTCGATGAGCTCGACGCTCTCGTGCCGCGCCGTGACGATACGCTCTCCGAAGCCTCCGCGCGCGTCGTCAATACCCTTCTCACCGAGCTCGATGGGCTGGGCAGCGCGCGACAGGGCATTTATGTCATCGCTGCTACGAATCGGCCGGATATCATTGACCCGGCTATGCTACGGCCTGGCCGCTTGGAGACGCTGCTGTTTGTAAATCTGCCTACTGCAGATGAGCGGGTTGAGATTCTGCAGACGCTGTTGCGGAAAATGCCGATTGAGTTCTCTGATGATATCAAAGAGTTGGCGAGGTCGTGTGAAGGGTTTAGCGGTGCTGATCTGGGGTCGTTGCTGCGCAGAGCTGGTTATTCTGCTATCAAGCGGCGGGATACGATACGTTTCGAAGACTTTGTGGCGGCGAAGGCTGGTATTAGGCCGAGTGTGTCGGATCTGAAGAAATATGAGAGGTTAAGGAGAGATTGGGAAGGTGGGAATGTTCTTTAGATATTGAAAACTTTGCTGGAAAGGCTTCACTTCTGCTTGAATTGATGAACCCATATTCCCCGATGGAGATTACCATTGTGAGTTTCACTTGTCAGGCAGTAATATATAGAAATGTAAATAGAAGGATAGGTCTGGTCTGGGAAGATTCCGGTTTGTAATTAAAATGATTTTTCATTCGCGGGACTCTAAAAACATTTTATTGTATCTATATTAGAAGGACATGAAAACTAGCCAAAACAAGAAAAAACAAAAAAAAGATGGCTTGCTTCGTGGAAAAACCGGAACCCAATAACACAAGGAGCTCGAGGGCCATATCATGCATGATACACAACAGAATCTCCTACATCCACAACCGACATGTTCCATCCGCGCCCGCACTGACACACCATGCTTCCCTTGGATGCCAATCTAGATCCAAAACTCCCAATTCTCCCGTGACCTTATGGCCACGGAGAACCTTCAACGGAACAATGCTTGCATTACTCAAAAGATCACCCGTGACACTTCCATGGAAAATCTGGAGAGAGCCGTCATCACTTGCATCCGCAAATAGCGGATGGTGGGCATGATAGCGCACAGCACGGATGGCTTTCTGGTGATAACGGAGCGTTTTGTACGGACGTTGGGAGAGGTCGACGTCATGCCAGAGGAGGCGTCGATCGTAGGAGCCAACAATTAGATTGTCGCCACCAGAGGTGGTAGAGGAGGTTGGATGGATGTCAAATGAAGAAATCCACCGGGCACCTGGCTGGAGGATCTTGACGAGGGTCTGGCGCGAAAGATCGTACGCGCGGATGGTGCGCTGGTTTGCGACGAAGAGGATGGGTTTGGACGGGTGGAAATGGGCAGTTTGAGGTGGCCCGCCGCCCTTCAGACGACGGCGGAAAGGGTGCTGGGTAAGGTGTTTGGAAAGGGTGTGAATTGCTATCGCGAGAGAAACGGGGGTGGCTGTGCCTGGGCATACGGTCACGAAATAATCACCGCGGCGGTGCCAGGAGAGAGACTTGGCTGTGTAACCAAGCGAGATAACTGCCTGGACCCCGGAGTCGAGAAGGGAGGGTGAAGGGCGAGTCCACTGGACAGGCGTCTTCTTCGTGCTACCGGCGGAGGCTGACGTAACTGTCTTCGCATATCCCCATCCGGCATCAACAATCTCAAGGCTGGACTTCTCCAGCTCTGGGTCAAGTATAGGAGGTACAATAAGGTGAATGCTGTCTCCCGTGGCAGCCGCTAAAACAACGGCATCTTTCCCAGGTCTCCATCGGACAACGTTGATAGGGTCCTCATCGCTCAACTTCACAGACCAGACCTGGCGGCCAGTAAGAAGTTCCCACACACGGACGGTACTGTCATCACCACCGCTCGCAAGCCACACTCCAGTTGGGTCAACAGCCAGGGTCCGAACCCGTCCCCGGTGTCCACGGAATAAAGTGGAGCAGGTAGAAGGGAAAGGTTTCAGCTCTTCCGGGCTAGGTAGCTTGGGAAGTAAACTTTCGGGGTCGATATTCAGCTTACTCCTCCTAACTCTGGGGGCCAAATACAAATCAAGACAGCGCTCGAATTTCTCCTTGACAAATGACTCATAACCAGGAACTTTTCGAAGGGCATCATGATCAGTCGGTAGGTACTCTCTCTCACGATCCTCTGGGTCTGTATTCAACCATTCGGCCTTCTCCTTTGCATCAGGTAGGTACTCCGGTGGTGGATGGTAGCTTTCTTCATAACCAGGGGGAGGAAGCTTAGGGGCAGGTATATGCATGGGATGGTCTGCCCGTGGGGTCTCATTGGCCCAGAGGTCGTACGTCTGCACCCCTTCCTCCGCTTCATCTTCTTCGGCTGGTGGCTTATAGGGAAGTATCCGTCCTTCCCTAATTGCCTTGACTAACTTCATCACCCGCTTAGCCTCATGTTTCGAAGGGACAAATCGCCTTTTCGGCTCTGGTGCGGCGCTCAGTGGCATAACTTCCAACTTGCTAGTGAAGTACTCGATAGTTGGCTGGTAAGGGTCGTAGCCATCTTCGGTGATTTCGTTCATTTGCACCTTGCGCAGCAGCTCCAATTCATCTTGACTCAATTCCAAAGGTTTTCCGGTAGAAGGGTCAGTTAGGCCAGTAAAGCCTTTGGGAAGCTCAATGCTATCCAGTAACACATCAAGAGCCTGTCCCTTTGCCGGTCGCATTATTCTTTTGCCATTGATGTTATAGCCAATGTGTGGGTATTGGTCGTAGAAGGAGAGCGGGATATTCCCAATGGTATTTGCATTTTCGTCCGCTTCAGAGTAATCTGAGTTATCGTCTGGGTTGATTTCATCGTAGATATACCGCTCG